TCCGAGCTAAAAAACCGCGGATAAAATGTACTCGAAACACACACAGAGACAGGGTCTTGACAATATTCATTCTGTGCAACTGTTGTAGCAAACGCATAAAAATTTGATTACCATTTCGGCAGAATGACGTCATTCACAACATCGCCATTCTGTCTGGTCCCGAGAAGCAGATCTTCGGCATTCACCAAAAAATCAGGTAGATAAAAAAATTCCGGAATAAGCTCTTTGAAATCCGTGGTTGAGTCGAAGCTCGCCAATCGCCAGGTCGTTTCGATCGAATTGAATAGTCTGTCGGCAATATCAAAATTATTATCTAAAAACAATCGCATGTGAGTAAATGCGCCTGCAGATTTCAGGCCACTGCCTCTGGATTTTTCTTTGCTGAACTGCCTTCTCGACCATCGATTCTCTGCACCCTTTCTAAGCACACCTCGATTTATATTTTGTTGTTAACTAAGCGAGCGTTGGGAACGGAAAGAGGATCCGTCTGCATTTATATAGAACTGGATACGGCAAACCCAAACTTCAGCAAAATCAAAAAAAAATTGTTAGTTGCGCTCATGGTGAAAAAAAAAGACCAACAACAACAACTATTCAAAATACCAAATGAGTTTGTGCATCATTTTCTCAATAAAAGAAGGAATTTCTCAAAAAATAAAAAACTTTTTGCTAGTTCCTCTTCCCCAAAACAAATAGCTTGACATGCACTTTTTCAGAAATACAGTGTGGTATTTCTTTTAGAAGCCAAAATGAACGTCACCGACAGCAGAATGACCACTAATCGATGCAGTACTAGGCAAAACAACTGGAAAAGTTACCTGCTGCATGAGTTAAAATTCAAAATACAAATTAAAAATTATTCTAGATATTCCATGTGTAGTCCTTTACAGGTAAAGCAAACAGAAAATTGTATGTTGCGGGGAAAAAAAAACTGGCCAACGCACGGGCTGTCCGTGCGAAGATGCGTTTTTTGCATAGTTCCCCGCAGTTTTTGTTGCTGCCGGCACCGGCTTTTTCAGCAAATGCTTCTAGCTAAAAAAATTAAGACTGGCCGCCAGAACTGTCAGAAAGCACCCCCCTGAAATTTCAGCTTTCCAGCTTCCTTTGCTCCTGAGTTAGCAACCTACGGAAACAAAATTTTCACGGGCTCGTGCATGTTTACCAAGCATACCCCAGAGTTAGGTTTGAGCTGAATGAAACTTAGTTGGACGGGATATATCCTCTTAAAATCACAGGCCTT